AGCATTCGTACGAGAGCCCGTCCGCCGTCCAGCGCTGGGGGCCGTCGTAGTCGCCGCCGGATTCGATGTCGACGACCCCGGGTTCCGGGCTGGACATGGCCCAGTCGACGCAGGAGTGGTCCGCCGCCGCGCTCCCGGCCGCCGCGCCGACGAGCTTGTTCGGCGGGTCGAGGATCCACGGCCCGCGCCGCTGGCGCTTCGCGTAGAAGGCCCCGCAGTCCGTGCATCCGATGTGCTCGTCGAAGAGCATGAGGTAATCGATGCCACCGCCCTCTGAAGAGGGCCTTGTTCGCGTCATGGACGCCGCTCTGCGGCGTGAAGATGACGACGTCTTTGAAGAGCTTGTTCAGCTCGACGATGCTGAGGAGCGTCGGCTCGTCGTCGCCGCCGCCGTCGCCGCCGCCGGCCGCGCCCGCGCGGGTCCGCGGCGGCATTGTAGGAAGGCGGGGTGCTGGTGTCCTCGCCGCTGCGCCGCGCGCGGTCCGCGCGGGCGCTGGTGGGGCCTGGACCGGAGCGCGGCGCGGCGCCGGGCTCTGCGGCGGCGCGCGCTCTGGCTCCAGGGGCTATCCGCCGCTCGCGAGCGGTGGATCTGCTGCGGGCGGCGCGCTCTGCGCGCAGGCTCGCAGCGGTGTAGCTGCGCACAGCTAGCAGGTGTAGCGCGGTGGCTCACAGCGCGAAAGCGGGAACATAACCCAGATCAGAGTGAGACTGCGTTACGGGTATCCTAGGCGTATCCTGGCTCCTCTGCCAGTCGCTAAATCGGTCCGACCACATGATGTAGTCGCAGGTCTTCGACTCCTCCGCCGCGAACGCGGCGCCGGCGGCCGCGCACTCGTTCACAGTATCGAAGGTCCCCAGGTTCGTGACCTGGGTCTCGCACGTCTTGCCCTCCTCGAAGAGCGTCGCGCCGTACCCCTCGTCGCAGTCGGCGGCGGCGCCCGCGGCGCGGAGCGCGACGATGAGAAGGAGTCGCGGCGAGATCATTTTGGGCCGTCGGAGCTCGACGCAAAGCGTCGAGTTAATATGAGGCCCTTGCCGTGACGCGTCTCTAAACGTAGGGGGGGCGGGAGGAACCGCGGGAGGACGGGAGCTCCGAGGATTTCACAGGCTTTGCGCAAGCTTCCCGGCGAAATCGGCGTGAGCCCTCGAGCGGCACCTTGAAGTATTACTATTGTATTGACGCAGAGCGGGCAGCTCACAGCAATAATTATGGAGAGCTACTAGTAGGCAACCGGGCCCATGCTGCGCCACCACCTGCTCGTCCTCGTCGCCGCGCTGGCCGCGCCGCCGCCGCCGGAGCCGTCCGTGGGCGTCTGCTGGACGCGCAACCGCGTCGACGTGCGCGAGCCCAAGGCTCGGCGCGGCGAGGCGAACCGCAGCGCCGACGCGCTCGAGCTGCGGAACCTCGTGCTCTCCGCGGGCAGCGTCCGCCTGCGCCACAACGTGAGCAGCTGCCTCTTCACGGACCTCGCCGCGCCGCTCCTCGCCGCCGCGGTCGGCGAGCTCTTGGCGGCGCCGGGCGCGGGAGAGCTCAGAGGCCTCCGGCTCTTCGACGCGGTGCTCCCGGACGGCGAGGCCGCGTTCCTCGCGGCCCTCGAGGCGCGCGGCGACGGCAAGCTCGCGGCCTGGGCGCGCGACGCGGGCACGCTCGTAAC